TTACACACAGATAGCCCAAGGATCTATTAGGGTCCATGAAAACAAGTTTTTTTCTTATTGATAATACATCACCAAAACACTATTCTAATGATAATCGTTCTATTTCCCCAATAACAACTTGCCTTAAAAAAAATACCACCTCTTCCTAGAGCATTTTAAGCTGGTTTTGCCTATTTATATCAATGCTCAGGGAGATTTTCATATCTCTTCCTAGATTCTTGTGCCCTTTGTCTCTATGTGTTATCTTTTGAAGGATTTTCTGAGCATTTTTGCCTGGTACCACGGTAAGGTACACACTAGGACTGGGATGTCTGGGGTCCAAGACTGACTTAGATAATAGAAATTGTAGCAATAATATTTCAAGGATCTGTGATTTTCTTAATTTTATGTATTCACATCACCAATGCACATGGCAACCCCTCATGACAGGAGACCTGGTGATGAACCTTTCTGAACTTAGCCCAATGACATTGCATCACCAAACCTGTACTCAGGGTGCAGCTTGGTAGGGAGTGCCCCATTAGCATAGCCCAGGAGAATCCCAGGTCTACTCCATGGCAACATAGGAATAGCCTTCAATGGAGGAATATCTAGAATAACCATAACTCAAATTTTCATGTCACTTTCTAGTTTTAAAAGTCCTGTCCTTCCAACAATCCTGTGAGGTTCCATTTGCAGCCCAGGAGGTATCAAACTGCAATCTTCCTCAGGGCAGTTGAATGTCTCTGTGTTATTCACTTTGTACATCACAAATAAACCCTGTTAAATTCAGCAACCATTGATTACCTAATGTATGCATAGCACTGCAATCAGCACTGGAGAATATATGATGTTTAGATAAAGTATGTCTATCCTGCCTTCAGAGAACTTACAATCCAGTAGGGGGTTGAGATAGAAACATCAATAACCTTAGTGTATAATATTACTGTTATGTAAGGTCCAAGAGAGAGGGTCAATTGGAGGGATAACAGAAGGCTTTAAGAAAGAGATGATATTAACCAATAAAATAGATAAATCAGTGGTTAATTTGATTTAAAAAAAAAAAGAAAACCAAGTTACCAGTATCAAAAATGAAAAGGGTAAATTCACCACCAAACAAGATGATGTTAAAATAATTAATAGGAGCTATTTTGCCCAGTTATATGCCAATAAACCTGACAATCTAAGTAAAATGGATGAATATTTACAAAAATATAAATTACCCAGATTAACAGAAGAGAAAATAAAATACTTAACCCTGCCTTAGAAAAAGAAATGGAACAAACCATAAATGATTTTCCTAAGAAAAAATCCTTAGGACCAAATGATTCACAAGTAGTGAACTCTACCAAATATTTAAATAACAATTCCAATACTATATAAACTATTTGGGAAAACAGGCAAAGAAAGAGTCCTACAAAGTTCCATTTGTGACATAAATATGGTGCTGATACCTAAACCAGGAAAGGCAAAAACAGAGAAAGAAAACTATAGGACCAATTTCCTTAATGAACATTGATGCAAAAATACTAGCAAGGAGATTACAACAACATATCACAAAGCTCATACTACAACCTGGTGGGATTTATACAGGGAATGCAGGGCTGGTTCAATATGAGGAAAACTATCAGCATAATTGACTATATCAATAACAAAAACAAAAATAGTCATAATTTTCTCAATGGATGCAAAAAAAGCTTTTGACAAAATACAACCTTCATTCCTATTAAAAACACTGAAAATCATAGAAGTAAATGGAGCTTTCCTTAAAATGATCAGTAGTATCTATCTAAAACCATCAGCAAACAATTTCTGTATGGGGATAAGCTAGAAACCTTCCCAATAAGATCAGGGGTGAAGCAAGGATGCCATTATCACCACTATTGTTCATATTGTTCTAAAAATGCTAGCTATAACAAAACAAGAAAAAGAAATTGAAGAAATTAGAATAGGCAATGAGGAAACAAAACTATCACTCTTTGCAGATGACATGGTGTACTTAGAGAATCCTAGAGAATCAACTAAAAAGCTAGTTGAAATGATTAATTTCAATAAAGTTGCAGGATATGAAATAGACTCACATAAATCATCAGAATTTCTATATATTACCAATAAAGTCCAGCAGGAAGAGATAGAAAGAGAAAGTCCATTTAAAATAACTGTTGACAATATAAATACTTGGGAGTCTACCTGCCAAGAGAAACCCAGAACTATATGAACACAATTACAAAAACACTTTTTACACAAATAAAGTCAGATCTAAACAACTGGAGAAATATTAATTGCTCAGGTGTAGGCTGAGCCATTACAATAAAAATGACAATTCTACCTAAATTAGTTTACTTATTCAGTGCCATACCAATCAAATCACAAAAAAAAAAAGTATTTTATAGAGCTAAAAAAAAAGTAACAGATTTCATCTGGAAGAACATCAGGTCAAGAATATCAAAGGAATTAATAAAAAAAAAAAAGTGAAAGAAGGTAGCTTAGCAGTACCAGATCTCAAACTGTGTTACAAAGTAGTAATCATCAAAAAAAAATCTGATAGTGGCTAAGAAATAGAGTGGTGGGTCAGTGGAATAAATTAGGCATACAACAAACAATGGTAAGTGATCTTAGTAATCTAGTGTTTGACAAACCTAAATATTGAAGATTTTGGGAGAAGAAATAACTATTTAACAAAAATTGCTAGAAAATGTAGAAGTCAGTTTGGCAGAAACTAGGTATGCACCAACATCCTCACACCATATATCAAGATAAGGTCAAAATGGGCACATGGTTCAGATGTAAAGGGTGATATATTATGAACAAATCAGGGGAACATGGAATATTTTACTTGTTGAACCTAAGAATAAAGAGAGAATTTATGACTAAACAAGAGATAGAGAGAATGATGGGACATAAAATGGATAATTTTGATTACATCAAATTAAAAAGATTTTGCACAAATAAAACCAATGCAGCCAAAATTAGAAGTAAAGCAGGAAACTGGGAGAATCTTTTTTTACAGCAAGTTTCTCTGACAAAGGCCCCATTTCTCAAATATATAGAGAACTGAGGCAAATTTATAAGAATATACATTATGACTCAATTGATAAAGGATATGAACAGGCAGTTTTCAGAAAAAGAAATCAAAGCTATTAAAAATAAGAACTCAAAGTTCTCTATAATCACATGAAAAAAATGTTCTAAAGCATTAATGAATTAGAGAAATGCAAATTAAAACAACTTTGAGGTACTACCTTCTACCTATCAGCTTGGTTAATATGACTGAAAAGGAAAATGACAGTGTTGGAGGGGGAGGAGAGGATGTGGAAAAATAGGGACACTTATGCTCCATTGGTAGAGCTATGAACTGATTCCACCGTTCTGGAGAACAATTTGGAACTTTGTCCAAAGAGTTATAAAACTGGTAGGGAACCTGTGGCCTTGAGGCCACATGTGGCCGTAGGTGTAGCCTTTTGACTGAGTCCAAGTTTTACAGAACAAATCCTTTTATTAAGGGGATTTGTTCTGTGAAGTTTGGATTCAGTTAAAGGGCCACACTTAGGACCTAGAGGGCCACATGTGGCCTCAAGGCTGTTGGTTCCCCACCCCTGGTGCATACCCTTTAACCCAGCAATACCATTAGTAGGTCTGTACTGAAAAAAGATCAAAGAAAAAGGAGAAGGACCTATATGTACAAAATAGTAATAGCAGCTCTTTTTAGTGGTGGCAAAGAATTAGAAATTGAGGGAATGCCCATCAATTGGAGAATGGCTGAACAAGCTGCAGTATATGATTTTGATGGAATACTATTGAGCTATAAGAAATGAGGAGCAGGATGCTTTCAGAAAAACCTTGAAAGACTTACATGAACTGATATGAAGTGAAGTAAGCAGAACCAGAACATTGTATACAGTAACAGCAATGTTGTACAATAATCAACTGTGAATGACTTAGCTGTTCTCAGCAACACAATGATCCAAAACTATTCTGAAGGATTCATAATGAAAAATGCTGTCCACCTCCAAAGAAAGAGCTGATGGAGTCTGAATAACAGTTGAATCATATTTGTTTAAACCTCCTTTCTTATCCTTGGTTTTGGTTTTGGTTTTTTGTTTTGGTCTGCGTTATCTTTTGTAACATGGCTAATATCTAGATCAAATTGCTTGCTTTCTCAAGGAGGGGGGAAGGGAGGGAGGGAGAAAATTTGGAAATCAAATTTTTGAAAAATGAATGTTAAAACTTTTTGTTTACATGTAATTGAGAAAATTAAAGTTTAAAAAGGAGATAGTATTTACACTGGGCTCTAAATGACAAGTTAGAATTCAATAGATGAAAACGGAAAGGGATCAACACAAATCACTAAGATAGGTTTCATTAGGGCTGTCTGATGATGTTATTACAGAAGAGACTAAGAATTGATTAAAGATACACAATATGGAGAGAGGTGGTTCACTCCGTTCAAGCAAAAATAGAGAGATACTCCCATGAACCCTATTATAAAGGCATATTTTCCATCCACATCAGTCATGATCCTTATGAAGACCCAAGTGCTCTCAATCATTGTCAAATATCTCCTTCAGTTATATTTCCCAAGGGCATTACCTCAGCCCTCCCTAATCAGGAATTTGAAGATCTCTATTGAGAACAGGTTTCCAGATTGTTCTGACAACTTTGATCCCTTTGTCTTGTTCTACTTCCTGCTACTCCCCAGAATCAGCACCCTGCCTATGGTTATCATGTCATTTTCCTCTCTTACCTTCCCCTAACCTCGCCATGGTTGGCAAACAGAAATAAATTAAAAGCCTGGCCCTTTCCTTATCCAGCTGAAGCTATAAATGTTTCAGGTAGCTATGAAGTGAAAGAGAAATCATAAAAGAGAAGAGCATCCGTGGAGGGAACCCAAGGAACCCAGGTATCCAGGCTCAGACACTGCCCTCCCTTCTCCTTCCCTTTCTATCCCTCTATGCTCTGGGGACCCCAGCATCCAGTTCTATAGGCTCAGCTCTCTGCCTGTGTTCTCTCTTCTCTCCAAGAATTCCCCTTGTTCTCCTTCTCCCTTCTCCAGAAGCCCCAGAGGATTATCTTGAGATGAATACTGAAAAGTTTGCCCTCATACATTGGCTGCTAATATTGCTTCTTCTTGGACTCTTGGAAGATGGTGAGTGATTTGCTTTGGGTAGAAGGTTCTGATAGATCACTGAGGTTCTCAGAGATATATATATATATGTATATGTATATGTATATGTATATGTATATGTGTATGTGTATGTGTATGTGTACATATGTATATATATGTATGTGTATGTTCTTAATTTCTTCCAGGAACACTTTAATCTAACAGCCCTTTCCAAGCCCATAGTGATCAGTATCTCTTCTATAATCCTCAAAATATCCCTATCACAACACACCACTGGCTTAGCCCCAAATCTGATCTAATTTGTCTTTTTTGTTCCAATTGGAAACAATCTGAATGTCTGAATCCTGCTCATTCACTTAATTGAGTGTCAGTACTAATTCTCATGTCAGTTCCCATCGCTCCAAGGGAAGTTTATACTCTGATGAGGCACACTGGTCCTAGACTGGAAGAGAGGTGGCAGGAAGATGCAGCTATGGGGACACAGAATATATGAGGAGAGTGGAAGGTAGGGTGAAGAAAGCAGGAACTTTGGGTGTATAAGTCCCTGAAAGGAGTGAGAAGTATAGGGGTTGAAGAGTCAGGCAAAGTGATTTCTCTGTGCCTCAGTTTCCTCATCTGTAATAATATTTATACCTTGCAGTGTTATTGTGAGGAAAGCCTTTGTGTTTTCTAAGATTAGAGTGTTTAGCATGCTTTTAAGATTCAAACTACTACTGATGATGATGACGATGATGATGATGATGATGACATTCTGATGACTCCCCCTCCCTATGACCCTATGCCTAATTGTACCAGATAAGATATAGAGATTGGACTCGACTTTGCTTTCTAGGACTCTTGCTCTTCAGAGATCATAGGTCTAAAACTAGAAGGGACCTCAGAAGCCAACTAGTCCAACACTCTCATTTTTCAGATGAGAAAACTGAGACCGAGGGAAGTTAACTGACTTACCCAAGATCATACAGGTAAAAGTTAGCATTGAGATATGAGCCCAGGTCTCCAATGCCAAGCCAGCGGTCTTTCAATAAGATTGATGCATTTGATCTGATAAGTGTTTATGAAATCAATAGGTCTAGGACCAGGGATGCCATGTGGTACAAGAAGAAACACATGTTGGAGAGCTCCAGAACCTCCTTTTTCACACTTGTCTTTCTACAGGCAACTCAACCTCTGCTCCTTTAACTATAAGTATAAGCTATAGACTTCACAATCTCTCCTATTGATACAAATGCCAAAACCTTTATCACAGGTTCTGTGGGCTCCACATCTACTCCCAGCTTCCCAGCCTCTACTATGGACTCCACAACTATTTCTGGCTCCTCAACCTCTACTATGGACTCCACAGCCTCTACTACGAGCTCTACAACTATTTCTGGCTCCCCAACTTCTACTATGAGCTCCACAACTAT